TAGAAGCTCTTGGAAAGGTAAAACATACCTTGGATAGACAACAAATTATCAATTTTTAATGCCATTACTATGCTGCCTAGAAGAAATTATATGGTGTCTCTTTAGTGTGTCATTACTTCTCCCAGAATCATTGTGTTTTATATCCCAGTGTTTGCTGAATCTTAATCCCCTAAAGTGAAAGTAGTTTTATTTTAAAATTACAAATTTAATGGCACACTCCTGATTGTCTGCTTTCTGTGGAGAAATCTGATTACTGCTTATGTTTAGAGACCTGATTTTCTGGCTGTGGATGATATGGTCTTCCTTGAAATAAAACAAAGCAATATGCTGTATGATGAGAGCTTCTTATGGCTTAGGTACCTATCTTGTGAAAATGATTGCACTGAGCTCTAGCATGCTTATAGGAATGAGAAGTGAGAATTTTTTGGCGTAGTGAATGGGAGCGTGTGGAGGGGCTCGAGAAGAAAGCTGACTTTGTGAATGATACAAATCTTTAGTTTGGTGCATGGATCAGTCTCTACCAGTACAAATGGGATCTGAGATAAACAGGCTTTCTTGCAGAAATAAGTTCAGTCAAGGGTGATTCTGAGCTAGAGGTAAACACCAAAGCCAAGATGGCCTCTGCCCCTTTGGTTATGCTGCATTTATGTGTTTGTTTTCCCTAGGCTGAGGTATCAGAGAAACCTCATTTCTGTGTTTGGTCTGTATTCCAGATCATGAGGGCTTGGCTGTGTTATAGCTGAATATGAAGTTGTTTCACTGTAAATTAAAGCAGTGCCAGCTCTTCCATCTCGAATTCTGTTAGGTTGGTGATGATTGTCAAAAGCAGGACAGTGACTGCTGCTACCTGCCACACATATCATTAACAATTTCCAACTTTTCCTAAGGGATGATTCTGAAAGAAAGAATTTCCTGGCTAGCCTTTGCTAGCTGACTAGACTCTTTCTTTCCAGACAAATTGTCTTGTTTTTGCTAAGGAATACCAGGTAGGCAGAGGCCTAAGAATGGTATAAGAAAGGCTTTGAAAATAGACCTACTTTGGTCATGTTCCTTTCCAGACTTGGGAAAAGGAAATGAAATTTTGTTTTCATGGTAGTGAAGTAGATTAAAAAACACTGGATTTTGGAAGCATTCTGTGTATAACATGAAATATGTTGCAGAGGACTTCTGGCTCCACTTAAAATATGATATGGTTCCTTCTTAGTTTAAAAATTGAGTATGTTAACATAATGTAAGAAATCACTTACTTCATTACTAACACATTGCAGACTGACTGACCAGTCTTCCACAGAAACTTTCTGTCCCAGTTCTAAAAAATAAATTGCCTAATCTATCTAGGGAAAAGGGGTGGAGAGGCAGTTGTGCATGTTTTGCCCAGGGGTATAGTCTGTCTCATTCTTTTTCTTCTTAATATGTTGCCTTCCTTGCTTATTACAGAAAATATGTTAGTTCAGGGAAGGAATTGCTAGGAGGGTTGATTTGTGTTCTGGTCCACTCTATCCCTTTGGGACTCATAAAACAACCAGGTCATAGAGTTTTCAGTTGAATTTTTCTTTGTTCTTACTCTGCTTCAATCTGCAGTGAAGATTTTGTAACAATACAGCATTCCTTAGAAGTTGTAAATATTCCAAATAAAGGAACTGAATATATCTTGCTGAACATTAAGAATGGCTTTTTCATTTTTCTGGGAAATTGAAGTAATTTTCTATATTAAAAAAAAAGGCAGATTGGACTTACAGCAAACTAATTTTTTGTGACCACATTTCCTTCTGAAATAAGACTTAAAATTGTATTAAAATAGTGAAGTAAGAAAAAAATAATGCTTGCAATGATTGACTTTTTTAAAAAGTGGTTTTTACAACGTTTTTGAAAAATTGTGCATAGCCTTAAAAAAATTAGGAATTGCTGTAATAATCTCTCATTTGTTAGCTGTAAGCTGCTTATATGCTACTTACAAATGTTTCTGTACAGTATGTATAGCATTCCTCATAAAGAATAAGCACCTAGCTAAGCATGGCTAGATAAACAGAGAAACAACATAACCTCTTTTTAAATTTATAATCAACAGGAACCTTAGCATAATAATATATGAAATATAAGTGTCTGATAGAGCTCCAGCACTAGCTAATGTAAACATGGCTGCTGTGTATCATATCCAATAGATACTTTAAACTCTGTTTTTTTCTATAAATGAACTGTTGAATAATTAGATCCAGCATATTGCTTATTTTTAAAAGGAGGGGTAGGGGTAGTAAAGCTCTAGAAAATAATAAAAACCCCCTAAACTCAAACATGCTGTGTTTGGCTGCATTTACTTCTATATACAGCTTACATTTTATTTTTCTTGCTGGGTGTTGAGGCTTTTTTCCACTTGATGCTTTGATACTGTTGATGGGGTTGTTTTTTTTACTGAACTGTTAGCGATTTAAGAACAGCAATGCAATTCAACATGAAACCCTAAGGCTCATGCAGAGGAGTTATTTCAAAAGGCAGTGCTCATTTAAACTATAAAATTTCTACAGGGATTTGCATATGAATATTTCTTCTTAAAAATATTTTGCATTATGTTTTCCTTCTTATCTGCTGGAATTTAATATGGTATTGGAAAATGTGTAAGTTGTGTTATTCGAGAAATCAAATGCTCTTCAGTTACAAGAACTGTGAACAAAAATGCATTAAAAACATAGATCAGAATTTGAGATGGCAGCCATGGACTTGAGACCTGCTGTTAGTTTTCTTGAATTTGTAAGTTAAAGTTTAATAATGAAAAGTAATATCTTGGTACAAATTGATTAAGATATGGTAATCACAGATATTTTGTTTCAGGTACAAGAACTGTGCAGAAATGACTGCTGCTGCCCATTGGACAAGCAGCAACCCAGGAATGCTGTTGCTGGCCTCATAACTGTGCATTGAAAGTGGATATTTTAAAGTTGTATTTCTAAATAAGAATGTAGTTATTTGTACTGAAGCAGATGACAACCTTTTTTATTTTTCCAACTGTCACTAAGATTATTGCCTCCATGTAATAACATTAATTTATCTTTTATACTTCAGAATAAATTTTTTTAAGTTTTAAGGGATTCATTTCAGCTGTCATCTTTTTCCAAGGTTTTAAAATTATGTACTTGTCTAATTAAAAGCACAATGGTACTACCTTATTAGCAATTTTTGTTTGGGAATATTTTATCTTTTTTTGTACTCATGCAGTGTTGCAGACACAATATCTTATTAAAATTGACCTGTTTGTAAGATGTTTTGGGACACTGATTTGATTGTAGACACTGGCAAAACCTGCTTGCTTTACTCCAAGCAGTATCTTTAAGATGCACAGGGTTGTGGGACAGGGCCATAAAGCTTGAGCTTGTTTCTTTTGATATTTTTAATCAAATGAAAATCCGTACAAAAATTCCATTGATTAAATTCACATCGTAGGTATGCATTCTAAAACGTATTTATTTCCAGGTTTTCTAAAGTACTAAACAATTTAACTGGTATTAATGGCTAGTGGCCCCACTTTTATATTTACATAAGCATCAGAAACTGCAAATATGCTTTTGAGGCCTCAATCTAAGTCTGATTAATGCACACGATTTATGTGCATTAAGACATGTGATTCATACTTCAGAAATCAAGGTACAAAAGCTATTTTATGTAAAGAAAAGGAAACGAATTGAATGGATTTCAGTTTAAATACCAAGCCTTAGTTAAGTGTTTTGCATATTAAAAGTTATCTTAGCCAACAAACCTATCTGAGGTATTCCAGAAACTCTGCAAGTGGCAGTTTGCTCAACTCCTTGGGCAGTACTGGCTCTTCCACTTCATGTCAATACGTTCCCCAAATGCCACATATTCTACATTAAGTGGTTCTACAAAACCAGCCACACATTCTGCTACCATTGACAAGTCAAGATACACCCATCAAAAGTATTCCTGCAGTTTCAGATTATTTATTCTGCTATTATGAAAATGATGCTGTGACAAAAACCACTGTTACTTACAGAAATAAATGTATTACGTGTTTTAAATCAAGCTGTTTCTTTCTCTATGTAACTGTAAAGGGAAAACCTTAGAATTAGGTTGACCAGTGCAATAATTGCAAATTAAACTACTTTTAGTTTTTAACTCTATGCACATCACTTTGCCTTCAGCCTAGAAGTGTATGCACCAAATTTCAGGCAGATTTTTTTAAAGTAGTGGAATATATAAGCCCTTCAAACCAGGATTTCAAATGAAAAATCTAACCAATCTTTAATTGCAGCTGCATCACAACACTAGTGGAATTCCACTAACTAGCATTGTGTAAAGCCTCATTTGCTCCTCCTACATGCACTAAATATAAATGTGCATGAGCAGCAAAAGCAATTTGCCTAATCTCTGAATCAGCTAAATAGCATTTGCACTAAAATTTTGTCTATATACTAACTTACCTGGTTAAATTGTGGGTAAAACCAGATAAATGAGTAGAATCATAATTATATTTTCTCTTTAGATGTTTTGCTATTTTGTTGCTTGCTTAGAAGTTAATGATTCGACTTACACTGTTCAAGCCAATTTATTTCTTTCAGAAAGGATGGACTTTTTAAAAACATAATTTCAGTTAAATATTTCTGTAGTGTCCTACTTTTCTTGAGTTACTAACCAATTTACATCTATGCAAATCCTGGAACACTAAGTTCATTCTTCTGAAGTGTATTGCATTTACATGGGATTGTTGAATCTTGGAAAACATTTTGCTGTGTATAATGGCATTGCAATTAGCTGAATGCTTTTCATAAGGCTAATTGCTTAAGGTCTTTCTTTTTCCTGTCACTCAGAATGGAAACAAGGGACTGATTTTCTTCCTGAATGTAGTATGCCTACAGTTACTGGATGTTAAACATAAATTGCACTGACGTGCCAGCTCAAATGTCCCTCTCTTTAATCCACAGTTTACATGCAAAATATTTTCTCCAAAACCTAGACATCAGGCTAGTTCTTATTTTTTTAAATTTCTGACATATCAGTAGTAGAATCAGAAGTGTTGGAGGAGATTTCAGTCTTAACAAGAATGTAGTGAAGCTGGTGTGTTCAACATTGCCTGGCCGTTCTCTGCTGCAGAATACTTGCTTACTTTCTGTGTTCTTGGTTGGGAACTCTGCCAAAAGGAAATGTGAGGAGTCTGTCCAGCAACTTGTCTCTTTCAGAATCCACATCCCATTTTGCAATTTGTTTGGTTTTTTTTTCTGTAATGCCTATTAGGACTCTTACAATAGTAATGCATCAGGGGAGAAATCCATTCCTCAATCTGTTGCAAAAGAATCAGGAGGCTGCTGTAGATATAGGAACTCTGAAGAGCTTGAGCAGAGGGATCCCACTCTGGGTGTAATTTACTTTCCATAGGTGTGAGTGGAGGACTTAGCACTACAGACCAATTGTAATTGTGGCAAGGCTTTTCTTGCCAGTACTGTACAAACTGGTTATTCTATTTAAAAAAAAATCCATATAGTTTACAAGTGCCTCAGTTTACAGATTAATCAAATTCTGTATTAATCAGTTTTGATAATGCAGATTATAAGCACATGTAGGAGCATCTGCTTCTATTTTGTTTAGTTGGAGATTATCCCTTAATCATGCAAGGTCCAGGTGTGCATTTTCAGATTTGTTGACTCAGGAAAGGTGGAGATAGTATTAAAGGCCAATCACATTATGCTGTAGTTACATTTATGTTGTTGCTCCTCTGAAGAATTGAACTACTCAGTGAAGAGAATGGCAAGAAGAAATGTCCTCATTACAGGTTGCTCCTCAGGAATTGGACTGGCATTAGCTGTAAAAATGGCAAAAGATGAACAGAAAAGATTTAAAGGTAACAATCTATCTGTTCTTTATAAAAACATACTATTTGAGATAGTGCTGGCTTTTTCTCTGTGATTTCACAGGTGGTTATATTCAGTTTGGTGACTTGTTTCTGGTTCATTTTCCTCTTGTACTATCAAGAAAATACAGTGAAAACAGACTGTTTTCTGTCAGCAGTTGGTATTTCTGTACCTTTATTGAAATGGAACAACTATTGGAACTGAACAGTGTACACACACATGCAACAAAAAAGACAGTTGTGTAAAACAAATAGCTGCAAATATCTGTAGTATTCTGCTGCTCTGGGTATGCCTTCACAGCTGTGGTTAGCTTTGCTTCTGGCTATTAAAATCTGTACCTATACATGCCCATGCCCACTTGAAGACCAAAGCCATGAATTTAAGTAAACAGTTTCTAAATTTGCAATTTTTTCCTTAAAGCACATTTCATTATTCCAAGCCTGTGTAGGCAGGTGAACAGAGGGGCTGGGATTTGTGTTCTCGCTGCCAAGCAGGGTATTTGCTATGATTGAAAATGGATGGCAAAGTGAATGCAGAAGTCTGTGGCAATTCAGTCTCTCATACTTACAGTATTTTACTGCCAACTGTAAACGTTATGTAAATGTAATATGTTATGTAAAAACATAACATATGATGCAGATCTAGACCTTTCTGAGCAATTAGGCTACAGTAATAACTAATTTCAATTTTGAGAAGTAGCTTACAAGAGACATTTTTTCAACTGAAAGAATTACATCTTCCACTTTTCAATAAAATGATGGTTGTCCTGTTAAATATTATGGTGATTAAAAAAAAAAAAAGGAACTCTGGAATCTAGATTTAGGTTTTGAGTACTTAAAAAACATTTAGTGGCATATTTTTTTTAATATTTTGGTGATAGTAGTATCTTTATACACTGCATGTTTTTCATTATGTATAGCTGTTTAATTATTTTGAATTTCTTGAAGATTTCAGAACCAGACTAAGAAATTAGTGACAATATATGTCAAAAATAGAATCTTTTAACTTTTATTTTTTATCTGGATTCTATCATTGATATTTAAGATCTGGATGTAAAAGCATTGTTCTTTAATACTTCTCAGTAAGGCTGCCACAGTAAAATTTTTATTTCTGGTGTTGTTTCTGGTGTGTTGCAGTGTATGCCACAATGAGAAACCTGGCCAAGAAAGAGCCACTGGAGGAAGCTGCAGGTCACAGGCTGGGCAAAACCCTGGAGATCAAACAACTGGATGTCTGTGATGAACAGTCCATTAAAACTTGTGTGAATAGTATCCCTGACAGAAGGATTGATGTCCTAGGCAAGTACAGGATGTGTGTGCTATCAGCAGATACCAGATTTCTATAAAACATTGTCTCAAATACCCTGGAGAAGTTTCATTAGTGTATTTTTAAAATTATCAAAGTAATAATAATTACATAGTATATTTGGTTCAAGATTTTTAAGCCTGTTTATGCAGACCTAAGTGGATTAAATTAAGTGGATTAAATATCACCCTGTTTCCATGAAGTAGGGAAGCTTGTTTTCCCTGTTTACAAAGGAGAAACTCGATCACAGGGAGGTCTTGGATAAAATGGTACATTTTTTTAGGAAATGTGAGAAATTTTGCCTAAACTGGCACCTCATGAGTAAGACTTTCCACCCTATTGATGAAGCATAGCCCTTTCTGCAATGAAGGTCCCATCTGCCTGTACTAAGAAAGCAACAGCATTGGGAATTGAAGCAAGTGAAAGAACGAAGGCAAAAAAAATAAGGATATTTCCATTTTGCATTGAGAACTTAAATTGTACTTTACAAATCATTCAGCAACAAGTGTTTTCATATTATTTTGCTAAAAATAAATATTAGTATCTTAGTGGAAATGCTTACACCATCAGCTATTAAATCTTACCTAGTAGAAAATTATGGACCTGACTTTTTTCTGATTAATTATTTAAGCAGTGCTTAACAACTCTTTCTGCAAAATTTATTATACTCTAATTCAATGTACTACTTCTTGAGCAGAATGCCAGTCATATCATTATTCCCCACTTGTAAATATCCAGGAGGCAAATAAAGGTCTATGGAATTGTGTGTTTTGGTTGGTTTGTTTATTTTGTTGGGGGTTTACTTCCTCTTGAAGATATATGAATGTGAATAAAACAAAAAAAAGACCAAAATATGGCATAGTCTATCACTTTTTGAAGATTTCTATTAATTCCTATAGGTATTAACTTCCAATTCTTAACACAGAATTATAAAAAAATACAAGTAATTCTTGACTCATTTTCCTGTAATCCCTTTATATTTTTTATAAAAAGGACTAATCAGAAATAAATTAGTTAAAATGCAAAATAGCAGATAATTTAAATTTTATTAAAAGCACAATTAAGGGTAAAGGCATATGGAAATGTCAAATATATTTGGAAAGCTCTAGTGACTAACATATTTTAATCCTTTCTTTAAGGATTATTTAGATCATTTAACCCTTAATCCTCACATTGCTGTCAAATGCTTTCCAGTAACGATTCCAAATTTATGTTTATGGAGGTTTTTGCTTGCTGTTGTCTCCCATTTTGTGCAGTGAGCAATGCTGGAATGGGGCTTATTGGACCTATTGAATGTCAGACCATCGAGGAAATGAAAACTGTGATGGACACCAACTTCTTTGGCCTGGTTCGACTCCTGAAGGAGATCTTGCCTGATATGAAGAGGAGAAAGAGTGGGCATATAGTTATAATAAGCAGTGTTATGGGAATACAAGGTAAAATTGATTTTTCTGTTTGCTTGAACTGAGTTCAGTGTTCAAAATCCAAAGCTTTCCTCTTTTTCAAAAACAAAACAACAACAACAAAAAAGTAGGAGCTGGCATATCTGACTCTTGTGCTTTGTAATGCTGAAGTTCCAACTGTAAAAAGCACCTGGTGGGTTTTTATGCATCCAGGTAGTTTGTTACAACACAGCTACTCTCACTGCATTTTAACAACAAAACCTGCAGGGTAAATTTTTTTAGAGTTTTAACTTAAACTCTATAACTTTTTAAAAAATTATTGTATTTTTATTATCTGGAAAATAAGGCTTAGCATTACTTTTCTCTTTCCTCTTGGAAAAATTAAGGGAACAGAAAAACATGCTTATTATAGTCTGCACAAAAATAATAGAATAAAATCCAATTCTGGACAACTGTATCACCTTTTTGTAAAGTTTCTCATCTCACAACACTCGAGAGTCAAATTTTAGTGACATTATGATATTCCTACTCTCGTGTCCCATCCTGTCTAGCTGTTTGTTTTTGTTTTTTTCATTTATTATAACTGACATTGATCTTACCTGGATTATTCTGGTGAGCAAGGGTCCTCCATCAAACTCCAGGAACTGGTATTTTAATACAACACTTACCCTCCACCTCAATGGATTGATGTAGTGCTTTTTCTAAATCACTCAAATGCAAGCTGGATTCTTGCATAATTGTATCTCCTGCATTACCCTCAGCCTCTGTGTTCATCTAGAGCCTATTAAAGTCTTGCTGATAAATAATGCAGATGGTATTATATGTACAGACACTTTCATATCTTAGACTACAAAATAATATCATCCAAGGACACCACAGCATCAGCTAGGGGGAGGAAAAACATTAGTCAAGCATCTTTGCTAGACTAAGCAATTTTAAGAATATAGGCAAAAATTAGTACTCAGATTCCATGTACACAAGGATTTTTCTAATGTTTTTCCAGCAAGACTATAGAAATTTTTGGAAAACACATGAGTTTTTAAAATCAAACTATTAGTATGTTGGATAAAATCACATTCTCAGGATGTTTTGTTTGTACCATCAGGCATCTTATTTAATGATGTTTATGCTGCATCTAAGTTTGCTGTGGAAGGATTCTGCGAAAGTTTAGCTATACAAGCACTCAAGTTCAAACTGCAGTAAGTATTGATCCACTGGTGTAAATGGCATTGATCCACTGGTATAAATGATATTGATCCACTGGTGTCAGTTGCATTTTGGATAGTTTAAAATACACTCAGAGGTAGGAAAAAAATCTTTAAAGCTTGCTGCTAATGAGACTGAGAAGCCCTTGAAAACTGTGCATTGCAAAAGGCACAGAAATGCCCACACTCTTCTTTATATAAGCAAAAAAGATCTAGGTGTTAAAATAAACACTTTCTCTTGAACAGTTAAAGGCTACTTAGCTTTGGATAAAATACAGTTCATGTAATGCTTCTGAAAACAGATTCTTACATACAATATCACAGGAATAAAATTATAACATCTACCTGTGATCTTTCCCCTTAGAAAGGATGATTGCCTTCTTAGGAAATCCACAGATAAAAAAGTTCAAGGGTTCAGCAGAGAGACTGAGCAAGTGCAAATCCATCAGAATGTTACACAGGGTGAGACATCTGTAACGAAGGGAGGTGGGGGGGAAAGTGAGAAGTGTGGTGTACTATTCCTAACATTTTAGTATTTCAGACACTGGTCCTGTTCATCTGTGGGACTTGAGGTTTGATTTGTCACATGTATATTCACCCTTATGTAATTCTGCCACTATTCTTTGTGCAAACTCCAATAACTGGTAAATGTCCGTTGTATCTCTGTGTGTCTCAGCATTTAGATCTTGTGGAAAAAAGACAGCTGCTGTTGTGGAATTTCAGAGATGGAACTGTGATTCTGCATATTGCTCTGCAAAGTTTGGAGGGATTTAAAACAAATGTAATGATACACATGATATACCACAATTCATAACATGATTTTAAGAGTATAAGACAGCCAAAAGGAGGTTACAAAAGGAAGTGTAATAGGAAAAATCCAACAGGAAGAGTGATGCAAGAGAAAAGGCTTTAATTCCAGCAGTAGCTGGAATTCTGCTTTGAAGGTCAACAGCTTAATTGAGTTTTAAAGAAGAGCCTTTAGAACATCCCCTGGACAATCCCGAAGAGTGTTTTGATAAACATAGTGGCTGGGTGTTCTCACTTACTGCCTGAGAAAAGAACCAGGAAAAATCTAACCAGTAATTATACTTCAGTTATGCTACTGGGCAAAATAAAAACTTCCAGATTTGGCAGCAGCCAGAATCTACCCACCCACAGTAAAAAATCTCTGTATTGTATTTTCTTCTTATATAGTGGTGGGATCTTAAATTATGTAACATTAACAGCTTGACAAAGAAAATCCATGTTTGGGCAATTCCCCCATCTCTTTCAGCTACTTTTAGTATTATCATGAGAAACAAAGAAACCTCTGCAGGATTTGGTCCAGAAAGTAATGAATTTTGTTACCATCCATTAATTATTTTTCCTAGTATCTGGTAAGTCCTTGTGGATAAATCACCCTTAGATTCCACAGCTGCAAGACATCAGGTAACAACTGGCACTCACTTATGTCATGAATTAAATTACAGCAGTTCTCCAAAAATTAAACTATGCAGATTTCTGCTACTGGATGGGGATGGATAGGAGGAGCAGGACAGCAGTAATGCAGTATGGACTGCCTTTACAGAAGGTACTGTTACATACTGTTTGCTAGGGCCACTCTTCAGTGTTCCTTTTGGAGAAGGATTGAAGGGTGTATTTTCCATGGAGGATAGTCAACAATCAGTTAACCTTTCTTATTTTTGAACAGGTTAAGTTTGATTGAACCAGGCCCAGTGGTTACAGAGTTTGAGAGAAAAGTGTTTGAAGATGGAATGAAAATGGATCTTTCAGCTGCAGATGAAGAAACAGCTGAGATGTTTACTAATATTTACCTTAAAAATTATAAACAAATTTTCCAGAGCCTGGGACAAAGTGCTGAAGATGTTGCAGAGGTAACTCATCAAAAATTCTTCTTTTTTTAATTTTTTTTTCTTTGTAATTTATGAATGCAGTGTTTGGCTGGTGGGTTTCTCTGGTAGAAGCATTTAATTAAATGTAATATACACAATTAAAAGTTTTTTTAAAAATTCAAAATAATTTTCAGAGTTTTAAACAAAAGTCTATAAAATATTAAAAGAATATTCATTTTGAAGTATTGAAGACAACTATGAACTCTAATTTAAATACCTCTGAGATATTAGATGCCCTTTACATCCTCTGGTGAAGGCTGAATATTCTGCATTGTTACCATACATCCACCCAGGGTTCCCAACACTGGTAAAACTCTGTCCTTTCCATCTCACTTAACTTCCCTTAGTGGAGGGGATGATCACTCAGCCACCCCTGACCACCAAGGCACAATAAAAGAATCATGGATGTTTCTGGTGCTTGGAGCTTCCTGCAGGAAGAAGAGTTTAGGCAAGCTGTGGGAGGGGATGCTGATTTCAGGTATTTGCTGGTAAGGAATTGCTTTGGTGTCAATTGAAGAGTCCCAGACCTTGCTGCAAAAGGCACTGTCCTGATCCTTTCCCAGGGAACTGCAAAAGAGAGGATCTACCTACTGTGGGCATATAAGCCCACAATAATTTGGAAGACTACTCAGGATACCAAGGTGTCAGGTGTTATCACTATGGTATAGAGAAATAGAAATAGAACTAAGAATAAATAAGAAATACTTCTTATGCCCTTTAAATATTTCAAGAAGAATTTCTAATGATGTTCTGATAAAACTATATATAGAGTTTTACATAATTCTAGCACTTTATTCTTCTACTTTTCCATAGTTGAACTGAAAATTTGGTTATTACTTTACTGTCTTGGAAAAGGTTCTTTAAAAATTCTACTTCTCCTTCTCTACAGCATACAGTAAAGATAATTCTTGCAGAAAATCCACCTTTTCGCCATCAGACCAACACCTTGTATACTCCAATGACAACTCTGAAGTATGCAGATCCAAATGGAGATCTACCCATTGATATATTCTACAAAATGGTTTTTCAGCATGACAAAATCTTCAGTGCAAGTCTCAACTTCATCAAATTGCTACGGTGGAGAAGCAGAAAGAGCTTTGACCTGGGAAAACCCTCACAATAAGTATAAGATTATATAATGCAAATTGGAATTACTTCTTGTAGCTACTATGACACAGTGTGTTGTTACTCAAATGCCTTTGCTCTGTAATTATGAAAAGGCATGCAAGATGTTTGTTTGAGCTTAGCTAAGATATTAATTTCAATGTGTATCTCTTGAATGTTACAATTTGCAGAACCTTGCAATTAAAATCCTGTAACTATAGTTTTATTCTGTTTAGTGTTTGCTTTTTCCAGAGATGTTTCCTTAGGAACATGAACACTGATTGATACTTGTGTATTCAATATTAACCTGACCTCCTTCACTTACTTGGATATAATACACACTGAGAGGTGTACAGTATGTAAACTGTTTTGATTCTTAATATCATAAAAATATGTTTTTACTTATTAGGATAGAATCAATAAAATAATCCCTCAATCACACTAGCATTCTCATTTCCAGAAATCAGATCTATTTATCAGCAACATAAGAGAAAATCTCATCCATCTTAAAATATAACAAGTAGAATATTTATTAGTCATATATATTTATTATAATATTCTGAATGCTTCCTTTATATGCAGTGCTTACTAGCATAGTGAACAATAAAATGGTTTTTTAAAGCATCTTAAAAATCTTCTTACTGACTAGGTACTACTTTTTGAAAACAAAGTATTGTCAGTAAGAAGTAATCTCAATCCACTAAATGCCTTCAGTACCTTCAGTGTGTGACACAGAACCCTCTTGGTTCTAAGCAATCCTAAGAAATATGTGCTAAACCAAAATTCTACCGTGTAGAGCAGGCCTTTTGCCTTGTATTTTCTCAGCCCAGTCCTCCAAGTGGGCTTAGGCCAAGCAGGGAGCTGGGGCTGCATTCCCGTTCCTGCCCGGCATTCCCGTTCCTGCCCGGCATTCCCGATCCTGCTCGGTATTCCCGTTCCTGCCCGGCATTGCCGTTCCTGCCCGGCATTCCCGATCCTGCTCGGTATTCCCGTTCCTGCCCGGCATTCCCGCTCCCTGACCTCTGCCCCGCCGGGTGTTGCCCTGCGCTGAGGCAAAGGCCGAGTGTCCCTCGGGCTCCTGGCTGCAGTTCCTCAGCACATTCCAGCAGCTGTCCTTGTCTCACCCCCAGAGCCCAGCTGGAGCTCACTCGCCATACAGGAACTGTCTTTCTCTTTCCTTCAGTGCTGTCTCAGAGAGCTAAAATCTAATTCCATGCTGGGACTTGCAGCAGCCCTGCCCTGCCCTGCCTCTCCCCTGGGGAGCTCAAAGCTCCTGCAGGTACCAAACACTGCAGCTAATGCAGGGCTTGTTCTGCAGCTGTGACCCTTTCGGTGGGGCCCAAGGTGCAGGGGCGTGCAGGGACCTCCCTGGGACAGCAGGCAGGGGACTGAGGGGACAAGGACATTCGCAGCAGCCCCCGGCCACAGCTGGAGGTCTCAAGCACATTCCTAACTCACACCTCCTGCAAAACACCCGGTGGCAGAGGGGTGGGAACAGCAGGACGCTGAAAAGGAGAAAGGAGGAATGAAATGACAGCAGAGTGCTGCTGGGGATGAAGGGAGCCTGGCAAATGACCCCTCTGCAGACCGAGATCTCCTCGCCGCCTGCTGAGGGTCCGCACAGGGCACTGGACAGAGACATCCACAGAAGGCCTGGGCCTGTCAGGAGCCCCTCAGATCTGCTTGTCTCTGGCCTGCAGCTCGGGCTGGGCTGCATTCCCAAGCAGTTCTTTCCTTTGCAGCACACAGCAAGGTAAGACCAGGACTGTGGGTTTAATGGCCCTTCCACAGATACTATCGTGATCTGGCTAGTTCTGTCTCATACAACCCTCACATTACGGGTTATGGAGTGGGTGAAAGCAGAAAATACAGTGTAACAGACGGCTGCCGAAGAAAACCAGCACTGTCTGCAACTCCTGAATAAACTGCGGATGAAGCGCCGAGCCCGTCCTGCTTCGGGGACAAGCTTTGCGGGGCTGTCAGATTCCCCTTCTACTGCTGAACCGAGAGGAAGGGCGGACGAGGCCCGAGCGCAGCTCCCGGTGGAGGGGGGCGGCTAAAGGACCCCTCGCCGCCGCTGCCGCTCGCACGTGGCGCCGCGGCCTTTCCGGCGCTCCCGGCGGCGGAAGCTGTTCCGGCTTCCGGCGGAAGCGCCGTCCGTCGCAGGTTGAGCCGGAGTCGGAGCGTTTCCGCCTCGCGGCCGCCGCACGGCCGGAACCAGCCGAGCCGAGCCGAGCTGCGCGCGGGGCGTTCCGCCGCTCGCCTCCCCTCAGGCTGGTCATAAGGCGGCGGCGCCGGCGGCCGAAGGATGTGGCGAAGGCGGCAGTGGCAGGCGCCGCGGCCGAGGGAGCCCTGAGCCCGAGCAGCGCTTCCCGGCCCCGCGACCCCCCGGCCCGGCAGCGACCCCCGGCCCGGCCTCCGCCGTCCCCCGCCCCTCCTCGACGTCGCCCCCTGCGGCCCCGCCCGCCCCCGCCGGGTCCCCGCGCCCTGGAGCCCCGCGCGGGCGCTGAGCGCAGCCCGTGAGCCGAGCGCAGCCAGGATGGCCTCGTCGTCCGGCAACGACGACGACCTCACCATCCCCAGGGCTGCCATCAACAAGATGATCAAAGAGACGCTGCCCAACGTCCGCGTGGCGAACGACGCCCGGGAGCTGGTGGTCAACTGCTGCACTGAGTTCATCCACCTCATCTCCTCCGAGGCCAACGAGATCTGCAACAAATCGGAGAAGAAAACTATCTCCCCGGAGCATGTCATACAAGGTGAGCTTCCGCGGGCGCCGTGCCGCTGCCGGGTCGGGCACCTGTGAGCCGCTCCTGTCCCGCTGCCGCTTTTTCTTCTCCGGTTGCTTTTAGCTACGTAGAACACAAAGGCAGGGTCTCGTCAGGGTGTGGAGGAGAAGCGTGTGTTATCCGGCTTGCCAGTCGCACTGCGAGAGAGCTTGTCTTTGTGTGGTTAGAGCGGCTGCTGGCTGTGCTCAGGACCAGCTCTGGTTTTGTGCTTCGAAGACGCCTGCGATGCTCTGAGTGAAGTCACCAAATCTCTTCCTCGTACCTGTGAAACGAGGTCTACTTTTTCGATTGGATAAGCAGCGTGTTTTAAGATTCTGAATGTAGAAAATGTCTTTCTAGTTGGAGATTGATTATGTGGGGCCTAGGCTTTATTCCATGGTAGTCTTGTCTGGAATCTCTAAAGAGTGTATTTCTTTAAGGCTGTCCTTACAGTCTCATTGTTAAATCTTGGATCTTCATATCTGTTGCAGAAAGCATTTAAACGTGACCTATGCCCTTGTATCTTTCTGTGCTGTTGACTTGCACTTCTGCTTGCTTGAATAAAAGGCGAGTTCTCTCTCTGTCTCGTTTGTTTTTCTTTAAATTCTGTCGCAAATAAGGAGTTTTCTTGCCTCATCCTGAAGTCTGCATTAGGCATCGTTTTTTGTCAGAAGCAAAGGGTTGTTAATAGCAGTGTCTGCTGCAAACAAATTTATAGCAGTAGTGAGAATACTTTACTCGGCTGCCTAGTAGAGATATTAACAGCAGCATTTGTAGTAGAGCTGTTTTCAGGGCTGCGATGGTATCAAGTTGGTTTTTAAAATATTGTCATTGTGTGATTTTTTTTTTAAGCAATATTTGCTGTTTGAAACAAACAAACAAAAAGTTGGGTTTGCTTGAAATTTATTAGCTTGCTCACCACCATCCAAATACTTGATTAGGTCATGAACAGCAGAAGAAAATATGTAGCATGTAGAAAAGATTTCACCTGCTGCTGTCCTAGGCTAAGTCTGGGTTTTTTGGAAAACAAATTGAAACTGAAATGAGTGTGCATAACATCAGCAGATGGTCCCATGCCAAGTATTTTGCTGGGTTCTGTGTCCTTGTATTATCACATCTTAGAGTTTGGAAAAGTTATTTTCAGATTAAATCTTTACTTTGTAGTAAAATATTGCAATGTATCCATTTTTGTAATGTTCTAGAGATGGAATGGATTTTCTGCTGTGCTTGTGTTTAAGGAAGCTGTAATTTTATTAGCTCCTTTCAGATGCTGGTCAGTTGGCAGATGATCCCTCTGTGAGGTTTGAGGGTTTTGGTTGCCAGTTTTGGAAACAGTGATTGTGTGTATAGGTAGAATATTTCAGCGTTTTCATCCATCTTTATACATTCTAGATACTTGCTGTTTTGAATGCCTCTTAATGCAGCTTCATGACGATGAAGCTAACAAATAAGACAATTGGAATCTGTTTGTTGTGGCAATCCAAGTATATTTTCTGAATGCTTAGAAGTCAAACGAGGCTAATGCCATCACATCACACCTGGTCCAGCACAAGGTGCTGCCAAGAGGAGTCTTTTTGCACCCTCCAAGAGCTGGATCTGGCACTTGCAACTGACCCTGTGGCTTTTGAGAATTTAGGGCAGAGCAGGGTTTCCTCTCAGGTGAGTTTGCTGGCTGACTGGGGCTGTAAACAAGAGGTTACTAGATTGGGAACAAGAAGCAGGAAGGGTATTTTTGTGGGCCAGAAGAAGGGGAAGAAGCGCTGTGCAGTTGGTGACACTGCCACTGGAGTGTGTTAGAGGTGAAACTGTGCTTGGTCGCTGTGCCTAGGTAAGTTCAGCACAGCGCTGCTTGAGCCACCCCATCCTTTGCTGCACTGCTCAAGTGATTGTGTGTGCTGAGCAAGAACTCTACCCTTGGGTTATACTTCAGATAGATGAGGTCCTTGCCGTGTTATGTTGTGTGGTAGCACTGGCACAGTGCTGCCAGCAGTATGGGGAAGGGAAAGCAGAAGTTTCTGGCATCCCATTAGAGATCTGATTTGATAGATGTTCTCAGACTATGCCAGCACTCACTACTGGTAACAAAGTGCAAGACAGCTTTCCTGGAGAGTACCCAAAAGCTTCAAGGCTATGTAATAGTTGTAAGTGGAGATCTCCACGTTTATTGTTGAATTCCACCATCAGGAACCCAGCTGTGAATCTGCAGCTCTAGTAAGCAAATGAATGTTCTTCCATCCTGGAACAGAAAATAGAATCATTTGAGTGTTATGTGACTTGTGACAAAGTAGGCTTTTTATGAGAAATGAAATTTTTGTTAAATTCTGAAAATGATGACTTGTAAAATGAGAATTTTTAGGAAGTTGGTTATTTTTATTACTTGGTCTACATGGAACTGTTGTGCAGTATGGTAGGCTGTGGATTGATGTCGAATCTTGTAGCTTCTTTTCA